GATACAGCTTCGGAGAACGTTGATGGAAGGGCAGGACTATGTTTTGGTGCCACAAGGTGTTTGGGAAAAACTTCATCAATGGTAATGCTTCATCTCTTGAACTTCTCCTATTGATATTTATAGTGTACATGATACATGCTTCCTTCATTGGAAGGAACTTGATTGTATGCTGTATACCTGAATGTACCCATCTTTTCCGTTCTAGTTCGATCACTTATCTTTCTGTTTTAGAGACATATATCTTTTTCTTTTCATTAGGTATGGAGGAGGGCCGGCATTGCCAAGAAAGATGATTGTGCAGGGTGTATATCACAGAAATTTCGATGTGGAGGTTTACCCACTTTGTCTTAACTTGATAGATTCGAGGGATGAGAGTCGGTCGATTCTAAGGTTAAGCAGAAAGGTATGGCCTTTTATTGGCACTGGTTTAGTTTTTCTCTTTTTTTTTTATCTAGATCAGGCCAAATGGAAAATGATAGCTATAGTTTTTCTGTTAACACAGACTTCTAGTATCGATATCTGTTCATCATGAGTTTCGAAATCTAAGATGAAACCGGAAATAATTCCAAGCGAAACCAACCGTTAAAGCGATTTCCGACTGCCTTTTTGTTTCTTAACTTGTTTCAGGTCTTAAGTGTACTTGAAATTTGCAATTTTGTTGTAGACAATGCGGGGTATAAGTATAACTCTCCCTTTTCCTCACTTCTATTTGGTTGGTTGGTATGTTTAGGCATCTGTAACCGAGCTATTCCAGAAGGTCTGTGCACTTAGAGGAATAGAGCAGGATAAAGTGAGGTTTACTTTTCCTCCCTCTTTTAAGTATGTATTGTTTAACAGTTATTTTTAGAAGAAAATCTGTTTGTTTCAATTCGACTTCGATTACATGTGGATCGTTATATATCGCTAGGCTCGCATATGGGATTACTTCAACAAGAGAAAGCATGCACAGTTGTTAGTTTCGAACAAAAGCCTGGAGGAAGTAAACTTGCAGATGGATCAAGATGTGAGGATCATTTTTGTTTGTCCTTATCTCTTTCGGTTTCTAATTGGTTTTGATTCATCGTCATGTTTTATAAAACTTTACAGATTCTTCTGGAGCAAGTTGATGTGCATCATTCTTCAAGATTTGGCTTGGATTCTACAGGAAACAAACTTGCTTCAGTTTCCTTGCAACCTTCAAGATCATCCTCGGCAATTGTTAGAGGGCAAACCTTGTCCAACGGTCACTCCTCGGGTCACAGATCAAATCTGTATCCGGGTAGTTCGTTAGGCTCGGGATTAACAGAGACGGATGACGGTTTAGATGCTAATAGCTCTCCCAAAAAAGGAGAGAAGGTGGCTTTGGCTGGATTGCAGAACCTGGGAAATACTTGTTTTATGAATAGTGCTCTCCAATGTTTAGTGCACACCCCACCTCTGATGGAGTATTTCTTGAAAGATTACAGGGATGAGATCAACACGAAAAATCCTTTGGGGATGCATGTAAGCTGCAGTGCTATCGACCGAGTCTTTTTTACCTTAATGTGAACTATTCTTTTCGATTATTTCGACACCTCCTCTTGAGCACTTCACAAAATCTCTAACATAACCTGTACTTGTGTAGGGGGAACTTGCAATTGCATTTGGTGAGTTGTTACGGAAATTATGTTCTGCAGGACGAACGGCAATTGCTCCACGTGTATTCAAGGGAAAACTTTCTCGGTTCGCACCCCAATTTGGTGGTTATAACCAGCATGATTCTCAAGTATATTCCGATGTCTTACTACTCTGTTCTTCATTTTTGGCAATTGGGTAACTAGTATAGATTAGTATGGGCCTCTTGCATTATTCTGTAAATGTGACTAATGGTAGAGTGTAATCTCCTTAGGAACTTTTGGCCTTCTTACTGGATGGGCTGCATGAAGACTTGAATCGAGTCAAACAAAAACCTTACATTGAAATGAAGGATTCCGACGGTCGTCCTGATGAGGAAGTTTCAGTTGAGTGTTGGAGAAATCACAAGGCTCGGAACGATTCTGTGATTGTGGATGTTTTCCAAGTAATAAATCTTCTTATTTTACCTGCGTGTTTTGATTCAGAGCTGCATTTCGTATTTTCGTCCTTGTAGTGTCATTGGAAAGTAGTGTATCAGGTTTTTTTGGTACATAGAAAAGCAATTAGAAGTTCGTTTTTTTCTTCCCGTTCTTGCCTTTCAGGGTCAATATAAGTCTACTCTGGTTTGCCCGGTTTGCAGCAAAATTTCGATTACATTCGACCCCTTCATGTATTTATCATTGCCACTACCTTCAACTATCACCAGGACAATGACAGTGACAGTATTTTATGGTGATGGAAGTGGTCTCCCCATGCCATACACCGTCTCTTTGTTGAAAAATGGTTTCTGCAAAGATCTCCTTTCGGCATTAGGTCGTGCATGTTGCTTGAAGTGTGATGAGAACCTTCTGCTTGCAGAGGTAAACATATCTTGAGTTGCTTATTAACTTCATTTTATCCGTTTATGTTATCACCTTGATGGGCAGAAGTAGTAGATAATCTATATCAGGTATTCGAAAACAAGATTTACCGATATTTGGAGATGCCTTTGGAGCCTTTAATTTCGATAAAGGATGATGAGCATATTGTGGCCTTTAGATATCCGAAAAAAGGGATGGGAAAAACTAAGCTAGTAATTTTTCACCGATGCCCGGAAAAGTAAGTTTGCTTCATTTCTCTAGCAGTTTTCCTTCTCCCAAGCAAATTATTTTTTTTCATAGTTTGATATTTTGGATAGGGTCCATAGTTTCATCTATAATTGCCATTGGTCATTAATTTTATCTTTGCTATTTTTAAGTACGAATTATCCAAGTCAGCCGAGTCTTCCATTTATGCACACCATGTGGTATTAATTTGGTTAAGAAAATTTGCAGAAGTTTTCATGACTTCTGCAGTCTACTAGGTAGTAAGGAATGAGCTTCTTTGGGTTCTTATTTTGACTTAACTTTTTCAAAGAGGGAGAAAGTAGTTTCATATCGATCCGATTCCGTACTTAAGCACCAAGAGAAAGAGGTAGATTTGGCCTATGTTGTTTGAGGGCAGGGAGAAAGTCACTAGAATTTGTTGAATAAGATATACTGTTTTTTTCTTTTTCGTCGTTATGTTAAACCAAAGTATTGGACTTGCCAGATCTGCATCAGAGTATCATAAGAGCGGCTCGAAGCTTTTTGGAACTCCACTGGTTACTTATATGGGGGAAGATCAACCAAGTGGAGCTGATATTGTAAGTGCTGTTTTCAAAGTACTGTCACCTTTCAAAAGAATGTACTCTTCTGCTAAGGCTCCTATTGGCAAGGAAAACGGCTTTCCCACAGATGGTCTTGATTTACAATGCAGTAGTTCTGATGCTCAGACAGTTGAGAAGGCAGAACTTGAGGGTACATCAAGCACAGGCTTATCGCTCCCGCTCCTTTTAACTGATGATACGTTTACGAGCTTCACAGCTTTTAAGAAGGATACGATATTTGAATCTGGGAAGATCTTAAAGGTTGTGCTAGATTGGACCTACAAAGAACAAGAGTTATACGATGCCAGCTACTTGAAGGGCATACCAGAGGTTCATAAATCAGGGTTTGCTGCAAAGAAGACCCGGCAAGAAGCCATCTCACTATCTTCATGTTTGGATGCTTTCTTGATGGAAGAACCTCTAGGTCCAGATGACATGTGGTACGTGCCTAAATTATGTTTAAATGTATGTCGGATGAAAAGTTTGTGGGTTCTCTCTTTTACTTGTACCAGGTATTTTTGCATTAGTGTAATGTCCTAAATGATAAATGCAGGTATTGTCCTTGTTGCAAGGAACATAGACAAGCTGTAAAGAAGCTAGACCTGTGGATGCTACCAGAGATAATCGTTTTTCACTTGAAACGCTTCACTTACGGCAGATACCTAAAGAACAAGATTGGCACTTTTGTGAATTTCCCAATCCACAATCTTGATTTGAGAAAATATGTCATGAACAAAGATGGACAATCTTATGTGTATGGGCTATATGCCATAAGCAACCATTATGGTGAATTAGGTGGTGGTCACTACACTGCCTATGCTAAGGTAAAGTTATAAACTACTTGACTAGTACTCATGCACTTAATTCTACATCTGCATCATGGATCTTTGGAGTTACCTTCTTCTGTATGACGTACTGATTTTCGTTTGAAATCTGGTTTTGCAGTTGATCAATGAGAATAGATGGTACCTTTTTGACGATAGTCATGTTTCCCGGTCAAAGAATCCGACATCAAAACCTCAGCTGCTTATCTGTTGTTCTATAAGAGAGTAAGAACTGTATCCAAGGCAGAGACAGGAGAAGCATGGTAAAGTCATTCCATCTGTTGAGCCCTGTCCGGTAGCAACCTCCAATTGAGGTTAGACCGGGCTCACCTGCGACAGTTACTGTTATTATATGTTGCAAACAGATGATTTACTTAGATATACGAGCAAGCCGGACAAGCCCGCATGCATGTATGAAACCGACGGTCCGTATCTCAGGAAAGGGTGACACAACTCAAAGGTAGGTTGAAGTTAGTTGAATAATTCATTAATTTGTTTATTCACTTTGATGAAGGAATTATTTTTACAGAGTAATAGGATATATTGTTACCTCCTTTATACGGTGGACTGGTGTATTTTATAGTCATCAAAACATTAGTAGATTGTTTAGGTAGAATGTTAATTTTATTCTTTAGGGCATCAAGTTCCACTTTATTCCATCCCATTTCCCTTTACCTTTACCTTTCTGGGAATTTTATCTTTGTAAAGGAGGAAAGAATGGTTGTGGAATCTTATTCTTAATCAAGCTCTTAACTACAGCAATTATATATAAGATTATTTGATTCTCCTACTACTACCAACTCTGAACCGAATTGAACAGCGATATAAATCAAGAGGTTGCTGGTTTGAGTTCGATGTAGAAAAAATAATGGTACATGTTAGTAGGGGTCCCTACAATAATCAAAAGGGAGATGAGGAATATAAACAATAATTGTAGCAAATTATTATGACCTAAACTAGTATTATATGAGATGCCTTCCCTCTCCACCAAACATAACACCCTGCAGTATATAACCAAAAAGACTTTAAGAGCAAGAAAGGCATACACACCCACATGAATGAAAGTGACAAGTAAATATATTGAAAGCAACCCAAAACAGTCCTAAAACACTGCTAACATAGTTTAACATAAATGTATTAAAATATGAAATACCGTATAAAATTAACTTTATTATCTCATTAAGTGGTAACGAAAAATATTCCGCAATTGGATTATATTGACAATATGTTTTATTTAAATGTAAAGTTATACAAATATATCAAATGATGTTTAAATATATATATATCTTTGTGAAATCTAAATTTTGCACTATTTGTAGTAAGTAATTTCTTATAAAATTAAAGGATTATTATCCAAGTAAACTAAAGTCTACGTAACCGTGTTTATTTGAATCTCAAAATCTAAAACCCTACCTCTTAAATAAAAAACCTTAAACCTTAAATATGATACGTAATACTAAAGACAAGATATCAAAATTCGCCTCCAACATTTATCAAAATAATCATTTTGTTCCCTATTTTATTTTTGGAGCATTTTGGCCCCGACGTTTTATTTTAGGGCAAAAAGACCCCTACTATTTGACATAATAGTCACTTTGTCCCTTACTATTTTTTTTGGGAGCATTTTAGCCTTCAACGTTTCATTTTAGGTTAAAAAACTCATATTTTGGAGCGTTAATAGTGTGTTAACTAATAGTTTTCATCTATAGAGAGAGAGTTTTGCTCTAAAATAAAACGTTAGGGGTCAAAAATATTCCAAAACAAGAATAATAAATAAAAATGATCATTTCAGTAAACGTTGAAGTAACTATTTTTGGTATCATGCTAATACTAAAATATATAGATTTGTGAAAATCTTACAATTTGTATATTAAATAATAATAATTATTATCTCATATACTGACACCGAAAAACACAAACGATATTCTAATGTTATCATATATCGTATGCATGATTTAGGGTTAATATTAGAGATTTAAAGTAACATATAATACAACTCTTTGCCTCTTTGATGATATTCCATACGGGAATAGAATTTACCTTTATTTTCTCCACCAACGAATCTGATACAAAGAAAGAGCCTTGAATTGAATCCGTCTGTTAAACCAACGTTTTAAGCAATAACAATGGCGCTATCATCAGCACCACATGCCCATATCTTTTCTGCTATCAACAAAAAGCTTGTCATTATGAGAGGCAAAGAAAACGGAATCCAATCAAAGCTGTGGGATTTCTATTCCATCCCTTAAAATCTCATCAACAAAACGGAATCTCCACAACGAAAGCGAAAACTGAGAATTCAACAATGAAAAATGGTGAACACCTAACATCCTCACCCACGGCCACTACTACTTACCGTTGCGGAAGATATCGACAAATAATCAGTGGAAGAACCCGTGGGATACGACGGCGTTGTCACGGCATTCCCGGAACTTCCACCGGCGACGACATTGATTCCACGAATCCCAAGAGAATAGGCAGCAGTTCCATCGGGCTTAAACAACCCGTAATTCCTCTCTGAAGTTGGACCTGGTTTCAAGTTCTCATTAAACAAAGCAAAAATGTAAATATTTAGATCCGAATCGGGCCTCATTGGAGTCCCTGTTTTCCCCGACATCAATTTAATCAAATTCCCATTGTATTTCTTGGCATTTTCCGGTGTAGCGCCTGCTTCGTCTTCATCTCCTTTTGAAGGCCACCCTGTTTCCGATATATGAACCGGGAGTTTGCTGTAACCTAGCGAAGCTAAAGCAGAGTAAACTGCGTCGATTTGAGCGTATAACATGTTGTCGTAATGTAAATTCGTTTCTGGGTCGGTAACTCCTTGATTTGGCTGAAAAAGAACGAAATCCAAGGGGATTTGTGTGGGGTTTGCCTTATAAGCAAAATACGGATACGCATTGATCAAGAAAGGAGACCCTGTTTTCTGATGAAAACCCAAAGTTTGGCACAAACGATCGATCAAGTCTACACGGAACGATCCAGCCGAAGGCGGATACGATGTTTGAAGAATGGCCAATGAATGTGTTGTTGTGACGGTGACTTGCTTGTCGAGTCCGAGGTTAACCAGCGCAGCATGGACGCTTTGCATTGCCGGGAGAAGGTTATCGGAGAGAGAAGAGTCGTTGAGCGTGAGAACCTCGTTGCCGACGAAGATGGAGGTGATTTTGGTTGCCGGTAAATGGGACTGAACGTTTTGTTTGACCCATGCTTGAGCTTTGGCTGGGTCTCGCATCTTGTCCAAGTACTCGTTGCCTAACCCCACCATGAATTCGATGCCGGTGTTCGCAAATGCGCCGAGGACCCTGGGGTCTGCGTCGTAGAGTTTAACTTGGGTTGCTCCGATGGATTTCACCAGTGGCACAACGTCTTCCGGCGGTGGAAGATTGTCTGCTATTTGTCCATAGTTTACCCCGATTGAACCAACCATAACTGGAAGCAAGCAAGGTGCAATGAGAAGAAGGGAACCATAGTTGAAGAAGTTAGTGAGGTCCATAGTTATGGTGAGTGGGGGAAGAAGATGATTGGCTCAACGTGCATATGTTTTAAAGGTGAAAGATGCGAGTGGAGAAGAAGGCAAAGGCGTTGAACAACGCAATCAAAGTGTAATGAGCAAATGAGAAAGTTGATAAATGAGTATTAGGAAGTTAGTAAAAGTAATTAATGGAATTCAGAGCGGTTTGAGAGTGATACATGAATATGTGATGGGAAGAAGATAAAAGAAAGGGCATATTCGCTTTTGTCATGGATTTTTCTCTATTACTCGAATAAAATGATTAAATATATGATTGTTATTCTTAAATGTTTTATATTCAATCACAATATATTCAGAGGTCTCTAGACGTTTTTTGTCAAATAATTAAAATTCTTTCAAACAAATATTATCTTATAACATTTTATATTATTAATAATAATAAAGTCTCTATCAGTTTAATTTTTTTATTTATATCTAAATAAACATTGTCTGATTTTGATTTCTTTCTTTCTTATAATATATTTTCAAAGTGATTGTTTTGTCTGCTTTATTAGTGCCATTGTTCATTGATTTTTATGGATTAGTTTTCTCTATTGTTACGATAGTTTAACGTGCCATGTTGTATTCATCATAATGATCACGAAAAATCAATGATCTTGTATATTTATATTCTCTTTCGCCACATTTTATCGATGCATTCAAAATCGTTTGCAGAATAATTTGTCAGATTTATTCTCTTAATCTCCACGTCTTCATCGATATTGTATAGGTTCAAACAAATACACGAATATTATTAATATTTGCTAAAGTTTTTTTAAAAGATGAAACATATAAATAAGGAAAAGTTACGATTTTATTTTTCATCAATATTACGTATAGTTTTAATGTTATAATTGTATTGTCTTTATTATATATTATATTTTTTTCATTTAATAAAATCTTTTATTCAAAAAGAAGATATCTCATCGAGTTATTTTAGTAGTAAAAGAAAATGTTGTTTTTCATAAAGATCCCGGATTCAAACAGTTGCATAAGTATAATATATGCATTAATAATAATAGTTTTTGTTAATATATACTACCTTATAATTATTCAAAAATAAAAAGGAAAAAATGGTATATTAAAAGAAGACAACCCATCAAATTACTTTAGTAATAAAAGAAAATGTTATTTTTATAAATATTCTGGATTCAAACAGCTGCGTATGTATAATATATAATTGTTTTTAAATATATATTACCTTATAATTATTTAAAAATAAAAGGAGAGAAAAAAAATGGCATATTAAAAGAGACCACGGTAGTGGGAGTGGGACTGTGGGAGAGGCTTTCGGTTCCCTCCATTTGTTGTTGTTTGCAGTCAGTGGTAAACATCACGTTTGCCTTCAATTTAAGCCATATAATTTCATACTTCAGAAAAGAAAAAAAATAAGCCATATAATTTCGCCTCATTCCATCTCCACCTTCATCCACCCATTTGGGGATAAGTATGGGTCTGGTTAAATGACCAACTAGATCTAAAAATTTTATACACTTTGTCCGAAATTCAATTTGACCCGAATTTAGGATAATTTTATCCAATTCAAAAGCCGATTCAACTTTTGAGATAAAGTTCAATTCCAACTCGATCCGAAATTATATAAAATTATTAATTTTATTCAATAAAATAGAGATTTAATTAATAATAATATAAAAATATTATTATAATTATCCTTAAATATATAAAATATAATTATATTATTTTTCGGATAAAATCATATATTTTTCATTATAAACTTAAACCCAACCTAATCCAATCTTATATTTTAAAAATCGACCAGACTCTGATTGTATTTAATTTTTTATATAAAAAAAACTCGACCCAATTAAATCGAAACCTATCAGATTCAATTCCTGTGCCCAATCCCTACGCCCAACCATTCCTTCATGCTAAAAACATAACTTTTCTTTTACACGTTTTGAGAGGATGATCATTTTCTCTCAAACTTTTAATCTTTCCTAACATTCAAAAGTTGAATTTGATATTTACATTGTGAATTTTGTCTAGACATTGCCGAAATTCAAGTTATAAACTCTAATATTTAAAATAAAGCCATCTTACTGTTGTTAGAATTTTTCTAACGTGTACAAGAAAATTTTACGTTAATATCACCATTAATTTTGAAACCAATATTATATTAAAAAAATAATTAGATTAATAATTTTTTAAAAAATGATAATTAGAGTATTAAACTTGTGGTTTACCTTATCTATGACATGCATTTGCACAAATATGGCGCAGCATTCATTTGCACACGACACCTTAATTAGAACTTAGTCTTTTATTTTATTCCACATAACTCGGTCAATGCTCAAAACACTACGCAGACAAATTCCTTCCTCGAGTCATCGACAACATAAACAACACCAGTTAGATGCTGCTGCTATAATATATAATCTTAGCTTTTCTTGGCTGCTGCAATGTTACAAGACCGTATGCTCAGGGAGTGGCAACATTTTCCTTGGCAAGTGGAGCAATCTCCTCTCCTTCCACGCCGGCCTCACTGCCGGACACCTCCAGGCTCAGCAACATCTTCTCCCACAACCTTGACGGCCCCTGCATAAACCGATAAAATCTTCAATTTAGTATACTATTCATTTCTTCCTAAAGCTCCTCTGCATTGTTCCTACATGAGCTACTACTACTAACCTTCCATGAAAGATCTTGTGCCATACAGTTCTGGATCATTTCCATCAACGCTCTAGTCCCGTATGTCGCGAGAGCTCTCCAAACGGTTCTTACCACCTTGTCAACATCACTTGGATCCACTTCATCACACTGCAAAAAACATCACATTCAGATGAATGATCTTCCCATGATTATGTAGGCGACAAAGATATAAACAATTTTTACTTACTTCAACACTGAATTCTCCCATTTGGAACCCCGTGAAACCTTCCTTGACAGTGTCGACTAGTCCACCGGTCGAGGCAACTATCGGAACCTATATATATATATATATATATATATATGCAGATTCATCGAGTTAAATCAGTTGTTGCAGGAAAGGAATAGTCGAAGCAATTACCGTTCCGTATCGCATAGCATGCAGTTGAATGAGGCCGCATGGTTCGAATCTACTAGGGACCAAAATGAAATCAGCACCAGCAATGATCATATGGGCCAATGCAACATTAAATTTGGCTATTCCTCTGGCCTTGTCAGGATATTCGAGGTCCAGCCGCTCGATTTGCTTCTCCATGGGTTTTTTGCCAGTTCCCTGAAAGGAAAATAGACCCCTTCATCAATACTATACTCATTGAAGCAACACTAACAACCACAGGAGGGAGAATTTTTAAGTTTGACACTAACAAGGACCACAATCTGGCAATTTTCTCCAATGAATTTCGGAATAGCTTCCGCCAAAATATCCGAACCCTTCTGCTCTTCTAGCCTACCAATGAAGCCAATCAAGGGAGCATCCCTGTCACAAGGCAGCCCCACCTCAGCTTGAAGAGCCTCTTTCAACAATGGCTTTGCATCCATTACCTGCAACCGTCGTTACCGTAAAACCAGTATTCCAATACCACAACCAACCGAGAAATCTGATGCTATAGAAAGCACTTACAGTTTCTGCATCATATTTGACACAGGTGTATTTGTCGGTGGCAGGATTCCATTCTTGAACATCCATGCCATTCACGATGCCCGTGATGCCAGTTTTACGAATGATGTTATCGAGTTCAACACCTTTGTCTTCACCAGATACAAGCTCCTGGGCGTAGTATGGGCTCACTGTCATGACTCTATCTGATTCCAATATTCCAGCCTTCATACAATTAATTTTCCTTCCCTTGACAGGTTTGTTGTACCTGAAGATGAAAAAAAAAACTTTTAATTCCTCGACGGAAGAAAATAACACCAGCAGCACTTATGGTTTCATACCCATCAATGAAGTCAAATGAACTCTTGAACCGATCAGGCAAATTGAGAAGTGAGAAATCTGCAAAGGCAAATCTTCCCTGATAGGCTATGTTGTGGATGCAAAACACAACCTGTCATGTTTATCACGCACGATGTAAGTTCTGAGCTTCCGAATGTCGGAATCAACGAGAACCAGACGCTATCAACCATATACCTTTGCACTCATGTAGATTCCCCTTGACTGGTACATGCTCTTCAAATAGCATGGTAGAAGAGCAGTGTGCCAATCATTGGCTATAAAGACAACATCTTCTCCTGCAGAAGATGATGAAGCACATTAGCCTAAACCACTTCATGAATAGTTAAACCTCCAAGGCTAAGACTAAAAAAAAAACAAAGGTCAATATTCCATACCATATGGTCCTGAGAAATATTTGCTGCTATTCAAATTCAGAACCCTGGGTGCCAGTAGGGCAGCCTGCAAAATTTTCAACAAATTAGTGGTTGCACAACAAAACTCTTCGTGAACTTGTCCATGTTCGACTCAACTCGTTAAGGTCTCAAATCAAGCCGGAGATGAATCAATTCGAGTTGAGCATTGATAGTGTTTTGATCGAGTCGAGCTTGAGCTGTTCAACTCAGTTAGCACCCCTGACTATACGGAAACTTTTTATTTACCTGGCATAACAAGCTGAACCGCAGTTGATTGTCTTTGTAGTCTACACCTGTCCTGGGGCCATAGATTTTGGATGCTGTTTTGCCCCATACCTGAAATCATCAAAATAGCGAAGTTAAAATCAATGCAGAAATGATTACTTGAATCGTTTACACAGGAACATGAACTCAGTGACCTTCTCAAGGAACATAGGGTGATCGACAAAGACACGATCAACTCCACGTTTGTAGCAGTGGAAGAATCGAAGAGTCTCAACTTTGTCCCCTACTTTTAGCTGTGATATAGGAGAACTTTAAGAATCTAACCCAAAACATAGCTCACTTCAATGCAGGGATTTAAATAGTTGTCTGCCGTTGGAAACCGTTACGGACCGCAATTTAAATCCCTGCTTAAATGGAGTTTGAAGTATCAGAAAAAGTAAAACATGAAACTTTACTTCAATTACAACGCTTGTGTCCCATGCATCCTTGTACTGATCATATCGAGGAGACACTGTCATAACTCGGTGTCCTTTGGCCTATTAAATGATGATTA